CGCATGGCTCAAGTTCACATGCTGCACTGTCACTGTTCTACCCTGCTGAGGATGGTGATAAGTTCTATGCAAGGTCGAAACTGCAGTCCAGTCTGGATAAGAACAATTTTCGGGAAGGCAAGGCTCTGTTGCAGTTATAAAAAGTTTACGGGGATAAAGCAACTTCGAAGCAGCTGCCCATTCGTATGGCGGACGATTCCAAATGAGATGCAGCTTTCTTGTTAGCCTCAGCATATAAGATACAATATCAAGAGAATAGGTAATCATGCCTGGCTGAAAGCAAGCAATAAAATGAATCTAAAACGATAAGCTCAGTTTCCAGTTCTAATGAGACTTAATCAAACCCACAAATTCAAGTTATATTACTTCTCAATGTAAATCTAACTTGAAGACATTTTGTCATTAAATTTGTAAATAGCCTTTACTAGAATACTAATGACTCAAAGTAGGGTCATTTATTACCTAAGTTGGTCTCGTACTCTCTTCCTTGTCCAGGATACGTCGAGCGGCTTCGAAAGCCCTGCATCTTTGGTGTAACTACCTTCCTACGTGTTTCAGCTGCCGGCGTGAATGATCCAGTCCCATGTCTAGCCGCATTCATCGTCATCATATCTGCATCATCAGTAGTGAAAGCCGCTATTTGACGATCAATCCTCAGGCGTTCTTGCTGCTTGAAGGCTGACCAATAAGCTGGATGGTGGCGATGCATTGGCCGCCATCGGTTGTTCATCCCATCCACAGAAGAACTGCCCGGCGACAATTGACGCTGTCTGGTGTAACGGTCACGCTCAGGACGAACCGGCTTTCCACCGGGCCCGAGTGGCATCAGGAGCCGACCAGTGCTGCTGCCCGGCACCCATGTCCAGGCTAGCTGAGATGCTCCTGCCGGGTATGCAAGGTAGACTTCGGAAGCAGGGTCCCTAAGTATACTGGGAGAAGGACGAATGCCTGTTGCCAACCTTGCTTCGTTAGTTGTGTTAACATCACCACCAGCAGTATGGCTGCTAGGGCTATAGGTAGATTCTGCATATTTGTTAATTGGATATCCACTGTGTGGGTCACTCATTCCATCGCCGCTGCCAGTCAGTGGGCCCTGAGGTGGTGGAGTCTCATTTGAGCCAGGGTCTGGAGGCGTAATGAGAGCTGTGTTCGCAATTCCTCCGCTGCCAACTCCAACTCCAGCTCCTAGGGTAAGGTGAGAAGAGAATGAAGAAGCGCCTTGCTCGCTGCCAGCGCCAATGCCAGCAATACTAGAAGGTGATTGTGGCAAATTCGCTCCAGGCAATGTCTTTGCAACCCGATGACAGCTGGTTCCGTTCACTAGAAGAAAACTTTCTTCCTGGGCTTTCGGATCAGCGCTCTGATTATGTAAAATATAGAAATTAATTTAATAAATACTCGAATAACATGATACTAAAGAGGATTTAGCATCTTTTTATCTTCAAGCAATAAAGTGCTATATTACCAAAGGTTTTCCTCAAAAATATTAAATGTCACT